AAAGGTTGGATTTAGAGTTGAGATGATGTGAATTTTATGAGGATAGGATGATCAAAGTTTTACATGATGGATTAAACATTTGTTGATGCAATTTGAAATCCCTGCATATGTGCTAAATGATATGTTTGCATGACTCATGTTATGTGAGGAGTAGAGAGATCAGGTTGATGTATATAGAGGAATTCAAGCATGAACTCTGAACTGTGAGACATTGAGCCTATACAGAAAATTTTTTGTTCAGAGAACACTTCACTGTATGAGTAACTCTAGAACTTGCCCTGTTTCTAACTTGAAATAGTTCATGGTTTGTAAAGTAGAGCTCATTGAGGCATTTTTCTTTTGAACCAAATTTTCTTATTGCATGGAAGCCTTAAGCCAGAATTTTTGTGATAAAACTAAGAGCCCTGCACTTATTCCAGATCCTAAATTTTCAGATTATGTGTTCAGATAAGGGGTAAGGAGGAAGGCTCTGTAGGAAAGGTGTTTCTGCAATGAACAAAAATATTAAGTGTTAAGTGTTGGAAATTTGGAGAAAAAGAAGAATGCAATAAAAAAAAAGGGAAATGAGGAAGTAAAGGCACAAAGTGCTTGGTTTGGAAAAGGAAAAGAAAAAGGAAATGAGGAAAAAGGGAAATCAAAACAACACAAAGTGTTGAAAGTTGGAAGAAAAAGAGGAAGGAAGTTGGAAAAGAAAAAGAAAAGTTGTAAAGCACAAAGTGTTGTGAAAAGAGAAATCAAAACAACACAAAGTGTTGAAATGGAAGAAAAAGGAAGGAAGTTCAAGAAAAAGAAAAGTTGTAGAAAAGGTTGTGAAAAGAGCAAATGAAAAGGAAGAAGAGAATGAGAAGGATTAAGGAGTACATAGATAAATTCAATAGTGATCCTCCTCTTATCTGAATCTGATCCATTTATCTAACCTTCTGCAACATCAAATCCTACCTTTAGCCAACTACATGCCAAGCCATTTTTCCTTCTTCTATACAGAATCCTATTCTTAGTCAAGTCATACCACCAAAGCCTCTTTTGTTCTGCTTATGAATCACTGTAACTATGGAAAGTGAGAAGATGGGCAAGCTTATAGTAGTTTGAGTGCAGTGGAGATTGAGTGATGAGTACACCCTTAGACACTAGAGTGCAAGAGAGTTTATTCTCACAATTTTTGAGAAGTTCCAAGTGAGGGGGTGTTTTGTGTTGAAGGTCTCTGCATTTCATCTTACTGATATGTTGAAAGTCATTGTAATGAGGTTAAGCAAGTCATAGTAAAAGATAGATTGCTGGGTTGTTAGATTGTATCTTGGAAAGTTGATCTGTCATATTTCAATCCAACCTCATAAATTTCATGTGTAAAGAATCTCAAGTCTTTCTCTGTCTTTAAAGTTATTGCTGAGGACAACAATATTCAAATCTGGGAATTGTGATGAACCCTTAGTTCATCATGGTTTTTAGCAGGAATTAGGATCAAATTGTGTGATTAAATGATGAAAAACAAGGTTAATGTCCTAAGATGTCCTCAATTACAAGTTCAAGAGCTTTATTGGAAATTTGTATGATTCTTGTAGGAAAAGCAAGCTTGAAAGACAACTGGAGAAGGAAGAAGATTCTGGAGCTCAAGAGGAGAAAAATTGCCTAAGTGTTGAGCGCTAAAACGTGCGCCCTGTTACAGAAAGAGGCCAAAACTTGCTGGTGATGAGCGCTAAAATGTCCACACAGAGCGTTTTAGCGCGCTGCTCTACTAAGAAGAGGGAAAATTGCTGGTCTTGGGCGCTAAAACGGCCTGCAATATGCGTTTTAGCGCCCTAAAGTGGAAAAAGATTCTGGTCTTCACCGCTAAAACGTCCAAATCAAACGTTTTAGCGTTGGAGTCAGTTAAAGTTAGTTAAACGTTAAGGAATGACCGTTTTAGCGTCCAAACTTGGTGAATGCTCAACTAACTTTAACTGACTCTAACCCTAAAACGTTTGATTTGGACGTTTTAGCGGTGAAGACCAGAATCTTTTTCCACTTTAGGGCGCTAAAACGCATATTGCAGGCCGTTTTAGCGCCCAAGACCAGCAATTTTCCATCTTCTTAGTGGAGCAGCGCGCTAAAACGCTCTGTGTGGACGTTTTAGCGCTCATCACCAGCAAGTTTTGGCCTCTTTCTGTAACAGGGCGCTAAAACGCTCAGTGTGGACGTTTTAGCGCTCAACACCAGCAAGTTTTGGCCTCTTCCTGTAACAGGGCGCTAAAACGCTCAGTGTGGACGTTTTAGCGCTCAACACTTAGGCAATTTTTCTCCTCTTGAGCTCCAGAATCTTCTTCCTTCTCCAGTTTTCTAGTAGTATTCAGTTTGATGCATGTACATTTAAGTATTCAGGCACGTTATATGATGATGTAGTATTCAGATATGTTTACGTGTTGGATTTTATGTTGTTAGATATAGTGGCACGGAGCCATGTTATGCATGTGCCCATGGATGGATATGTGATTATATTTGGATGCCTGGTATTTCTGAATTGATATGTTGTATAAATTGTTTATCAGGAAATGCTTCTGAGTGGGATTGGAAAATCCCCAGTTGTCCGATTTATAGAGGAAACTCTGCCCTATTTTCGTTTACGCCAAGTAAGAATTAAAGTAGAAAAAGAAAAATAGCTCGCATTTTTGTAAGTTAAGTCTTCCGCTGTTTCTGTTTATATCATGTGTATGTTAATTGAACCGCCTCGAGACGTGGATGTTACATTTATGGTATCAGAGCAGTTTCTCTAGGAGAGCCTATGAAATAATGCATAAACTGTTCGGGGTATGATCTTCTTGAGTTTTCTTGGAGTCCTATGATATGCATGTCTGATCACTGAGTGTGAGCGTAGCTAACTCATTCCTTTGTGTAAAATGTGCAGTATTATGGTTCGTCCAAGAAGGACTCCTGATCCACCTATTGACCTGACAGATCCTGTTCTAGCAGATTTGGCTAAACCTCGAATAAATCAGTGGGGAAATACTTCATAGTCAGATCCAATGATAACGGCCTTAACTGAGATGCAACAAAATATGGCTGCAGCTAGGCAGCGAGAGCTGGAAGTGATGATGAAAGCAAATCAAGACCTGTTAGAGGCTAATAGATTGGCCAATCAAGAAATGATGTCAGCAAGCAAAATGGCGAATATAGAAATGATGAGATTACTCTTGGTTGAGGTGAGGGCTGGTGGGCAAGCTCCACAGCCACAGCCTGAGCCACAACCACAACAGCCTGTTCCTCCTCCTCATAATCCCATTGTTGTGGAGGGTGAAGGAAATAATGATATGAATGAAGAATCTAGTCACAGGGGTGGTGTGGCACAACCAGCCACTAATAGAGAGCAAAGAGAAAGAATGCTTAATGCCTTCCGAAAACACGCACCACCAAATTACAAAGGAGGCATTGATCCGATACCCGCAATTCAGATGTTAGAGGAGTTGGATCGCATTTTTACTGTCATGGAGTGTGATGATCAGCAGAGATTGCTGTATGCTTCTTATATGCTGCAGAATGATGCAGCCGACTGGTGGAGAAATACCCGTCAGCTCTTGGAATGTCAGAGTTATGCTATTACCTGGCCTTTGTTTGAAAGGCAATTCTTGCTGAAATATTTTCTGGCGGAGCCCCGGATAAGGAAGAAGGGTGAATTTGAGGAACTAAAGCAGGGCCAGATGACTATTGATGAATATCTGAATAAGTTTAATAAGCTGGCCAAATACTCTCATTTCCAGAGAGCTCCACCTACTGAGGATGATCTGGTGTTTAAATTTCATAGAGGACTACATGATAACATTTCTGAAAAACTTGCAGGACACACTTTTGATACTTTTGCTGCACTCGTTAAAAAGTGTAAAAACATTCAATAGTACTATAGAAGGAAGCATAAGGACAAATATGTTCCTAATTCTGGTCCTAAAAACACTTCTGGGAATTCTAAAGGAAAAAGGTTGCAGGTTAGACAGTCTGATAGTAAGTTCAAAAAGGTGGTAAATTCTAAGCCTGTAAATTTTGAATCTGCTCCTCAATGCTCTAAATGTGGTAAAGTTCATGCTGGGGTTTGCAGAAAAGAGCAAAGATTGTGTTACAAATGTGGCCAACCTGGGCATTTTATTAGGGACTGCCCCTTTAATGGGGGACAGGTTTCTACGATTCAAGCAACTCCGGCTCCTATTGTGGTTGAGGAACCATCTCTACCTCTCCCATCTCCAGTTGCCAAAGTATATGTCGTGACTCAGCAAGAGGCTGAGAGGTCAGCTAGTTTGGTACGAGGTATGATTTCTATTCGTGATGAAATGCTTAGTGTTTTGTTTGATTCTGGTGCCACACATTCTTTTATTGCTGATTATGTAGTCGAAGCATTTGGTCTGCATGTGATAAAAATGAAAACTCCTATGCATATTGTTATGGCAGTGGGAAGAGTTTTTAATGAAGACTATGTTTGTGAAAATGTGAAATTCAAGTATGATGGCAGGGAATATTCTGCCGATTTTATCGTATTACATCTTGTCTCGGTGAATTTAATCTTGGGGATGGATTGGTTGTCTAAGTACTTTGTGAAGATTGACTGCTGCAGTAAAACCATTTTTGTCTCGTCAAATGATGAAGAGAGGGAGTCTCCTTATTCGTCTGTTCTTCGGGTTGTAAAGGCCTTGAAGGAAGGAGATTCCAGGTTTGTTTTATTGGGAGGTCTGGTTGGCGTCAACAAGGAGCCAATTTCTGTTATTCTGATTGTCTCCGAGTTTGAGGATGTCTTTTCGGATGAAATTCTGCACTTTCCTTCAGAGAGGGAAATTGAATTTGCAATTGACTTGTTACCTGGCGTGGGGCCTATCTCTCTTGCCCCATACCGGATGTCACCTCTAGAATTATCTGAATTGAAGAAGCAGATTGAAGACTTGTCCAGTAAAAATTTTATCAGACCGAGTGTGTCTCCGTGGGGAGCACCGGTGATTTTTGTTAAGAAGAAGGATGGGGCTATGAGATTATGTACAGACTACCGGCAGTTGAACAAGGTTACTGTTAAGAATAAGTATCCTTTGTCGCGTATAGATGATTTGTTGGATCAGTTGCGTGGTGCGACTGTATTTTCTAAGATTGATCTCCAGTCCGGGTATCATCAAATTCGGATAAAGCCGGATGACGTTCCGAAGACAGCTTTCAGGTCCCGATATGGACACTATTAGTATCTGGTTATTCCATTTGGGCTTACAAATGCACCGGCCCTTTTCATGAGTTATATGAATCGGATCTTTAAAGCCTATCTGGATCAGTTAGTGGTTGTCTTTATTGATGACATACTGATATATTCAAAGAGTAAAGAATAGCATTCTGAGTATCTAAAGGTTGTTTTGCAGATTCTGAGAGAGCATCAGTTGTATGCTAAGCCGTCAAAATGTGAATTCTGGCTTTCTGAGATACAATTTCTGGGTCATGTCATCTCAGCTGAAGGAGTGGCAGTGGACCCGAGTAAGATTGAAGCAGTGTTAGAATGGGAACGTCCTAAAATATTACAGAGATCAGGAGTTTTCTTGGTTTGGCTGGGTATTATAGGCGTTTTATTGAGGGATTATCACGGATGGTACTGCCTTTGACACGGTTAACCCGTAAGGGGAACCCATTTGTGTGGACCCAAGAATGTGAAGTGAGTTTTCAGGAGTTAAAAAGGAAGTTGACTACAGCTCCGGTATTGATATTGTCGGATCCTACCAGTAAATTTGTAGTGTATTGTGATGCTTCTAAGTTAGGGTTAGGCTGTGTGCTAATGCAGTTTCGTCAGGTGGTCGCGTATGCTTCTCGGCAGTTAAAGCCACATGAGGAGAACTATCCGACACACGATCTTGAGTTGGCAGCCGTAGTGTTCGCATTGAAAATCTGGCGACACTTTCTATACCAGGTCGATTTCATTGTCTACAGTGACCACAAAAGTTTGAAATATCTGTTTGATCAGAAAGAGTTGAATATGAGGCAATGCCAATGGGTGGAATTCCTGAAGGATTATGATTTTGAATTGCAATATCACCCCGGTAAGGCCCATGTAGTAGCAGATGCTTTACGAAGAAAGACGCTTGGTATGGCCAATTTGATGATTTCTGAGTATAATTTGATTGAGAAATTCAGGGATCTCCGCATTCCTGTGAATACAGAGGATATTCTGCATTTATTGACTACTACGGTAGTCCAGAACTCATTAGTTGAGCGGATTAAAGAAGCTCAATTGCTTGATGAAGAGATTCAGTCTATGAAAGAGCAGGACTTTGTGTCCACGGATAGGTTCAGTCTTAAATTTTACAAAGATCGGATCATTGTTCTGAAGGGTCAAATGGTGGATGAGGTATTGGCTGAGGGCCATATGGGTAAGTACACTATCCATCCTGGTGCTACCAAGATGTACCAAGACTTAAAACGAAATTTCTGGTGGTCGGGAATGAAGAAAGACATTGCTCTGTTTGTGAGTAAGTGTTTGACATGTCAGAAAGTTAAGATTGAGCATCAGAGACCTTCTGGATTACTGTAGCCCTTAGATATTTTGGAATGGAAATGGGTCAGTATTTCTATGGATTTTGTAGTGGCATTACCGAGAACTCAGGCTGGTTTTGATTCTATCTGGGTAGTTGTTGACAGATTGACAAAGTCTGCACATTTCATACCAGTCAAAATGAGTTTCTCTACAGAGCAGTTGGCTCGGGTGTATGTAAGGGAGATTGTGAAACTGCATGGTGTTCCTTAAAGTATCATTAGTGATCAGGACCCTAAACTTACTTCTCGACTTTGGGAGGCAATGCAACAGGCATTCGGTACACAGCTGAGGCTGAGTACGGCTTATCATCCCCAGACTGATGGTCAGACTGAGAGGACTATTCAGACCCTGGAGGACATGTTAAGGGCTTGTGCCTTAGAGTAGGGAAATGCATGGGATAAGTATCTTCCTTTGGTGAAATTTTCCTACAATAATAGTTATCATGCCAGTTTGGGCATGGCTCCCTATGAAGCTTTGTATGGCCGTAGGTGCAGGGCGCCTAAGTGTTGGTCAGAAATTGGTGAGAGGCAGTTATTTGGGCCTGATATGGTCCAAGAGACTACCAATCAAATTATGATGATTAAGGATCGATTGAAGAAAGCACAGAGTCGCCAAAAGAGTTATTATGATGCAAAGCATCGACCCCTTGAATTTTCAGAAGGGGATCATGTATTTATCCTTTTGTCTCCGACTACGGGTGTTGGGCGTGCTCTAGGAGTGAGGAAGTTGAGTCCTAGGTTCATTGGCCCCTACCAGATTATAAAGAGGGTCGAACCAGTGCCTTACTGTAAGAACCTGCACCGTTACATAAGGTATTTAATTAATTAGTTATGCAAAATTAGGAAATGATTCCATAATTGACCCTAATAATTATGATGAGGCTCTAATAATTATAGTAAGTGATTTAGAATGCTGAAAGTCGCTTTTCGGAAGAAAAGTGCAGATACCGGTTCTGGTAGTCGAAATAAATGCGTACCGAAAAAGTATCTTGGAAAATTACAATAAGTGCATGATAATTACTAGAATAATATAAAGGACTTGTAAAACGAGTTTCAAGTCCAAATAATGAGAACTGGTGCCAGAAACTGATATTGGCTATGAAAAGCGCGTACCGAAAAGGTGCTCAGAAAAATATAAGAAAAATATGATAATTCTTGTAAAATTGATTAGGTTAAGAATCCAAAGTTTGGGATTAAAATGTTAAGCGTAGCCATTAAAGTTAATACTGCGTGTTTATTTGTTTAGTGGCTATATATACACTTACTAAGGGCACAATGCCCTAGAAAACAGAATTTCCAGCGTGAGTTGTTGGTGGAGGCTGACCAGAATAGTGCTCCATTGCTCTTCCCTTCATTTCTTGGCCAAGTTATCACCTTTGATGCTTGTTCCTTCTTTTTAAACACTTGGTGAGGGTGCGAGCTAGCTTTGGGACTGCTTTGTTGGTCTTTTTCTGAGTTGAGAGAGCTGTTTTGGGTGAAGGTGTGGGGCTGAGTTTGTGTTGTGTGGTGTAGAAGCCTTGGGTTTGGTGGTAGAGGCTTCAAGTAGCTTCCTTGGTGAGGAAAGAACTCACCTTGTTGCTCCATTTTCGTTCTCCCTAAAGTCAGTACCTTGGAGCTGACTTGTGAGCTCCAAGAGCACCATTGTGGAGTTGTTTCAAGCTTGGGTAAGCTTTACCACCTTTGATCTTGAGTCTTGGAGCTTAAAATAGAACCTTGATGCATGTAAAGGTTAAAAGATGATAACTTAATGTTGGGTAATGCTTAACACACTTAGAAATGCATGCTTAAGTGTCTAAAATCAGTAAAAACCCATCCTTGGATGGATATCTTCGCAAAAATGCAGAAACTGCATTCTGTCGTGAAATATCCGAATATTTGCCCGTGGATATTGATATCCGGATATTGATATCCGGATATTGATATCCGGATATTGGATATTCGGATATTGACAGTGAGATATTCAGATATTTCATATCCAGATATGCCCCTGAGGAATATCCGGATATTCTGGGATTTCGTAGAACAGTAGCTGTGTTGTGTGCACAGTAGGCTATTGGGGGTTTGTGGACCCTATATTGATGAAGTTGAACTTCTGTTTTAATTGAACTAAGTCAGAATCATGTGATTAAGGGCTTATGGCTTGTGAGAAGCCTTAAGACATAATTCGTAATATGAAAACGTCGTCTTTATGTTTACGCTTTTGAGCTATGAATGTTGATATACTTGCTGGTCCTAAATCAGATTGTGATCTGCTGTGTGTTGGACTTTGAGCTTGTGGCATTGGATAGCTCGCTTAGAGGTAAGCTTTCGTGTCCTCGGTTTAGCCATGTTGTGTTTCCACCATGTCCCATGCGGGTATGGTTATATGCATGCTGTGTTACATGCTTTTGATGTTTTGGAAATGCTGTTGAGTTGTTATATGCTAGTGTCTTTATGATATGCATGTGGTGTTCCACTTATACGGTAAGCCTGAGTATGTGGTACATACAATATGCTGAGGCTGTGGGTGAGGTACAAGCGATGTTCCTTATAATATCTATAGGAGATAGACGTATTCCTGCATTTCTCTGGCCAGCAGAATAGTATCAACACACATGTCATGAATATCTGTTACACTGCATAGTTTTGGAACTTATATTGATATAAATGCTTTTAGAACTTATATTGCATATGTAAGTGAGCTTGGGGTGGAAGATCCTTGAGGACCCCTTGTCTTACTGAGATTTCTAGTTTAGAGATCTCACCCCACGTTTGGGGCGCTTATTTCAGGATCAGGTAATGTCGAGACCTCAGGCGGCAGGAGGACGGAGCTGAGTTAGAATTGCTGTTATTTATGCTGACATGTTGGATGTTGCTTTATGCTTTTAGCTTCAGCTTATGATTATGTTTTATCTTGTTGAGACGTTGTTTATTTGGTGAGCATGAGGATTGTCCATGACACATAGACTGGTTTATGTCTTGTTTTATTTGGAGTTGTAATAATGTATCAGGATGTTGTCCGGACTACTTGATGTAGATCTGTGATGTAGATACTCACCTTATTTATATATTGAGGTATTTCAGTAGATGTCTTATTGCAATTTACATACAGGCATTGTTTTTATGAAATTGATTAAGTAATCAACTTGGCTAAGTATAATGACGTCATAATTGAAAAGAAAAAGATAGTATGATAACATTACCGGTTATACACGGGGTGTTACATTTTATGGTATCAGAGCAACGGTTCAAGGGAAAAACCTGTATGTATTGCATAACTTAAGATGTTTCGTTGTGTCTGTCTTGTGTGTTTACTCTATTGGATTGTGTTATGATGATGCATATGTAATCGCATTGCGTGGGCCTGATCAACTCATAATTTGTGTAACTTGTGCAGAGTCATGGTAGGATCCAAAAGAACACGAGAGACTGCTGAGGGTCAACCCGACCCAATCCTGACTGCATTGGCTGAGATGCAGGAGGCCACTAGATTGGCCAACGTGGCAATGATGGACGC